GCCGTCTGCTGCACAGCCTCGTGTCTTCTGACCTCAGGATCAGATTAGCTCTCCTGCCTCCGTCCTCTTAAAGGTTTGGCTTTGAGGCCGGTGGGGGTGACCGGAGAAGCGCTGTAACAATTTCAGATAGAAGACGATGGTGGTAGAATCGTCCACTGCTGGGCTGATTGGTGTGTGTGGTCGATGTCCTTCAAACTGAACACATGGAGAGCCCAAGTTCACCTACGCGTGGGATGCTGTAGGACGTATTTTCCCAAACTGTTACCAGTGCTTGTAAGAGCAGTTTAAGATTTCCACCCACCCCTTCTTTGGCGCTGTGAACGCACTTGCACATTTGTGTGAGCGATTGAATGATGCTGCTCAGTGTCTTTAACTGGTGGGTGATTAAGGGCGGAAGCGGTCCTGATATTCTAAAATTTGCTAATTATTAGGAGAGAAATGAGAGAAGTCACAATAAGAGCTGCCTTTACGTTCTTTTTTCCTGCAAAAATGTGTCTAATTCTCCCTGGTGTGCTAGGCACTGTGGTAGGACCTTTTAAGTACGCTCCTCATTCATAAAACCAGCTCCCTAACTTCCACGTTTCTTCTAGATAGATGTAAAAGTAGTTTAATCACAAAATTATAATTCCAAGAGCTGAAAGGGACTTAACTGGATTTTCAGGTGAAGATAACACTTTTATTCACGTAAGAGATATGAGTCCACCGGTGACTATGTTCTGAGTCTGCAACTGGAATCAGACAGACATGACCTCCTACGCAGGTAAACCTGTTCCCATAAGTGGGTTCCTGCTGTGCTTTATGCAAACTTTTAAAATATTGTTCATCTCATGTATTATATTTGTTTATATAAATCTCTTGCTTTGCTGTGACCTCCTCAAGGGCAGGGGCTGAGTCTTATTTATTTTTATGTCACTAGTGCTTGGCATATGTTGTTTAAGCTCTATTTTTAACAAAACAAATGGTAGCAAAGAAATACATTTCTCATTCCCAAATAGTCTGTCAAGTTTTTGACGGATAGTTAAATTAGTTTACTAGTCTGAATTTAGAAGCTTGCTTAATGAAAGCTTAAAGTTATTTGGAATCTGATTGTACATGTGATAGGAACTTTTGAACTTCGAAGATCTTGATGAAGTAATTTACTGATTAAACCCAGAAATAGGACCAGGGACGGCATTACTTTACAGAGCCCAAAAGAGTAGTTTCGATATTTTATTTCTCCGGATTTAGTAGTAACAGAGGGAGCAAGGCAGACCATCAGAGAATTGAATTTGATGCAGGAATTGTGACTGAAATAACCATGGAGTTAGGGAAGGCAGCTAACATCAGATAGCTAAGAGTGGGAGATACAGAAAAGTCTGGTACATTTTGCTCTTGAAAAATCTAGAAAGAATATTGGGAAATGTTTTGGGAATATAGTGGACCCATTTAGTTAAGTGTGTAGTTGTACTTACTTTTAATATATTAGGACCAATTTAAAATTGATGTTTGTGGGTAAGTATGGGATGGGACTTTATTGGGGTAGGGGTTGATCTGGAACAGAAGTGTGGCAATATAGAGAAGAGTTCTTGTGTGAATATTCTAGTGTTTGTGATACTATTTCCTATACTCAATTCTTTACTGGTGTAATGTTGGATTCAGCGCATCTCATTTTTTTAAAAAATCGTTTTTATTTGTATATACTCTCTTGAAACACTTCATATACTTGGACTGAAAATAGTATAACATCAAAAATATGCTTTTTAAAATCTCACTTAAAGGCTAGGGGTACAGAAAACGTATGTAGCAGAAAACAGTGGATTGTTACATTCTAATATTTTGTGATCTTCTAGACTTAAACTGCTTGTAGCCACTAATCATATCTGGATAAATTTAAGCTAAAATTAATCAGTATTTAATAAACTTTAAAATTTAGTTGCTCAGTTTTACTACCCACATTTCAGGTGCTCAATAGCTAGAGTGGCTAGAGTCTGTTGTATTGGACAGTGCAAATAAAAGCTTTTCCATTATCGAAGTAGATTGTGATGGACAATCCGGTTCTACACATTTAGCAAGTACAGTTGACCCTTAAACAATATGGATCTGACTGCACGGGTCCATTTATACACAAATTTTTTCAAATAAACATTGGAAAATTGTTTTGAGATTTGCAAGAATTTGAAAAACTTAGCAAACTTGCATAGCCTAGAAATATTGAAAAAATTAAGAAAAAGTTATGCCATGAATGCATATGTGTAGATATTAGTTTATCATTTACTACCATAAAATATACACAAATCTATTACAAAAAGTTAAAATTTATCAAACCGTACACAAACACAGATCTTACATGGAGCCATTTGCAACTGAGATAAATGTAAACAAGCAAAGATGTGGCATTAAATCGTAGTTGCATAAAATTATCTGTAGTAGATATGGTACTACTGTAATAATTTTGTAGCCACTTGCTATTGCTTTTGCAGTGAGCTCAAATGTTGCCAGTATCTGCTTGAAAAAATCACTCTGCTTTTGTCTGTCCAGTAAATTGCCTATAGCAGTAAACAGATTTCATCAAACTTAATGCAATACCATAAACCTTAAATAACACCATGGGTCCCGTATGAAGTGCCACTGGTGATGCTGGAAGTGCTCCCAAGAAGCAGAGAAAAGTCAAGACATTACAAAAAAAAGTTGATTTGTTCCATATGTACTGTAGATAGAGGTCTGCAGCAGAGGTTGCCCCCCAACCCCATTTCAGACAGAGGATTTATCTTGTAGTCAAATAATGTAAATTTGCAGTATTGATAAATGCAGTGCAGTAGTGTAAATGTGTTTTTCCTTTCTTATGACTTTAATATTTTCTTTAGCTTTATTGTAAGAATATAGTACGTAATATATTAACATACAAAATATCTGTCAGTTGTTTATGTTATTGGTAAGGCTTTTGGTCAGTAGTAGGCTATTAGTAGTTAAGTTTTTGGTGAATTAAAGTTGCATGTGGGTTTTCGACTGCACAGGGGGTTGGTGCCCCAACCCAAGTATTGTTCAGGGGTCAACTGTACGTCCAGATTTTGCAGGGATCAATTTTACTGCTATATGTCTTTTAGTTAATGCATAGGAGATTTAGATAAAAGCTCATAAAGCAAGGAATGTCTTTTGATTAATACTTTCTAATGGGTTCCAATTTTGTGATTCCTACAGATTTTGCTTAGATGACATTCTGATTAAGGTAAAAATGGGTATAGCTCATTTGTATTGAATAGCAAAAGTTAGTTTTATAACCCAGTGTTGTTATGAATGAAGCACCTTAGCACATAGACAATACTGGAGTTGAAAAGCTGAAAGTCTTTTCAGAAACTTCTTACTTTTAGAAATAACAGGATGAGATTTTTAAATATCGAGATTTGGAGCCGATTTTTGCAGGTGAGGATGTGGATAGACACAAAGCAGTAAGCAACTTGCTCAGGGTTACACAATCCAGTTGTGGTAGAATCTGACCTAAAATCCAAAACTGTTACCTAAAATTTTATGGTGCGTTAATGCAGAGTTATACTAGTAAGACAAATTTAATGTTAGGTATTTAATAAAGATTTAAAATGAATCAAGACAGGCTTTATTTCTGACAAGTTACGTTTTTTTCTATTTGGATTTCCCAGAGTAGTTCAACTAAGTGCAGAGGAATGGGCCTATGACCATGGCGTTTAGCTCAGACCTGGTGTGGGCTCACCCTGATGACAGGTGACTAAATCAGAGTTGAGGTCACTGCTGACACCAGCTTTCTAGAGAGAGTTGGAGGCAGAGATACCACCATTGAGGAAAAATGGCTATTAAGTTTACTTTCTCCTGTTATCAGCAAGAGAATGTCGCCTCCTGATGCTGACTTAGTTCGGAACCAAGGAGAGTCTGATTTTTGTAAAATATTCCTTCAAAGCAGGTTTGACAGAGTTTCTTAAAAGGGCCAGGCAGTAAATATTTTAAGCTCTGAAGGCCAAGTGGTCTCTTGTTACAACTCATCAACTCTGCCCTTGAATGGAAGGAGCCTTAGGCTTTGTGTAATCAATAGTGTGACTGTGTACCAATAAGACTACAAAAAAACCAAGTAGCCAGTGGGCCCCTGCCTTAAAGCAATACCGATAGGGTAAGCATGTGCAGGATAGTGAAGTTAGCCCCAGTTATAAGGGTATAGTAAGGATTGGACTATATTCTCAACTTTAGTAAGATCCCACCTATTTTAAGAGTCACTGGTGGATGTATGTTATGGCAGCTTTGCACACCAGTAAGTAACCAGGGGTTTAAGAATCTCATCCTGCTCTGTGGAGTTACTTCTGTATCAAGAATTGACAGCTCTTCTAACCAATCTATAACTCATCTCAACTCACCCTTGCAATCTTGATACTACTTGGTAATAAGTAATATCTGTGGAAAACCAAAAGTGGCACCTGTGGGAATGTAACTGAACGTTTATTGCTTTTTACATATGCTGAAGTACAGAGATACTGAATAATGACCAAGATGACACTTGTGTTTTAGAAGAATTCATCTGATTAGAAGTGGGGTGGGAAGGGTAGGGGAGGAGTTAGGAAGTAGAATTGGAAAGTATCCTGGGCTTATTGATTATGGGACTAGGAGAAGAGACATTTGGGATGACTCCTTAATTACTTTTTTTTTTTTTTTTTTTGAAACGGAGTCTCGCTCTGTTGCCCAGGCTGGAGTGCAGTGGCACGATCTCAACTCACTGCAACATCTGCCTCCCGGATTCAAGCGATTCTTCTGCCTCAGCTTCCCAAGTAGCTGGGATTACAGGTGCATGCTACCATGCCCGGCTAATTTTTTGTATTTTTAGTAGAGACAGAGTTAGCCGGGATGGTCTCGATCTCGAACTCCTGACCTGAGGTGAACTGCCCACCTTGACCTCTCAAAGTGCTGGGATTACAGGCGTGAGCCACCATGCCCAGCTGATGACTCTTTAATTTCTAACTTGGGTGCATTTGTTAATATTAGCCATGAAGGAAGGAGTGCAGGTTTTTGTGGGGCATGTGCTAAGTTCACTTTGGGTATGAGTTTTGAGGTGTGGTGAGAGGGAAGTTGTGGGGCATCCAGTGCCCAAGAGTAAACACTAGGAAGAAAGGCTGTTCAATCTGTTGACGGTGAATTGTAAACTGTCAAAGCTCTGCTGTTTGCCTAACTTGTTGTGGCCATTTAGTTCCTTTAATGTCATACTCTGTTGTTAGGAATGTAAATTGATGGAGTCTTTCTACACATCATTTTATATCAAGAACCTTAAAAATACTTACTCCTGGCCAGGTGTGGGGGCTCACGCCTGTAATCCTAATACTTTGGGAGACCGAGGTTGGCCGATCACTTCAGGTCAGGAGTTCGAGATCAGCCTGACCAACATGGTGAAACCCCATCTCTACTAAAAATATAAAAATTAGCCAGGCATGGTGGTGTGCACCTGTAGTCCCATCTACTTGCGAGGCTGAACCAGAAGAATCGCTTGAAGCTGGGAGGCAGAGCTTGCAGTGAGTTGAGACTATGCCACTGTACTCCAGCCTAGGTGACAGAGTGAGACTCCATCTCAAAAATAAAGTTTTCCTTCTCACCTGGTAATTCTGCGAGAATTTATGCTAATTTTCCCCTAAATTATAGACAGATTTTGAATACAAAATGTTCATCATAAAAAGAGGTGAGTGTCTAAATGACCAGTAGTTGGGAAATAGCTAAGTAACTGTTGGTTACATAAGATGGAATGAAGAACATCCACTTTGTACCCCACAAATATATACAATTATAATTTGTCAGCATTCAGCTTAAAAAAAGTAAGATGCTAGATTACTTTTTTTTTCTTCTCTATTTTGGAGACAGGGTTTTGCTCTGTTACCCAGCCTGTAGTGCAGTGACACAATCATGGCTCACTGTACCCTTGACTTTCTAGACTCTAGCAGTTCTCCTGCCTCAGCCTCCTGAGTAGGTGAGACTACGGGCATGCACCACCACACCTGGCTAATTCTGTTTTTTTTCATTTTTTTTTTGTAGAGATGAGGGTCTTGCTGTATTGCCCAGGCTGGTTTTGAACACCTGGCCTCAAATAGGCTTCCCACTTTGGCCTCCCAAAATACTGGGATTACTGGCATGAGCCACTGCAGCTTTGTATTAAGCAAAACAGAAATGTGCCAAAAGGTTAGAAGTGGTTCCCTCTAGAAGAGGAATTATTAGGCCTTCTTTCCCTGAGTACTTTTAATTTCTACATTATTCACACTTTGAACATTTTAGTAATATAAATGAAGTATACCTACCGGTTTTTTGAATAGTAGGTGTATATATAGTATATGTATTTATACTACATATACTATTTATACTACATATACTATTTATACTATATATATGCTATGTATATATACTATATATAGTGTATATACGTATATGCACTATATATAGTATATATTATATATATATTTATACTATATATACTATGTATATAGTGTGTATATATAGTATATTGAACAGTAGGTATATGTGTAGTATATATATTTTGAGTGCTTGCTGTGTTTTCAAGCTATTGGGCTAAATCTTTTGAGTACGTTATTTCCAATGAAACGCTGTCTGGTAAGCAGAGGAACGTAATGCTACCTATCTAATTATGGAGATGTTTCAGAATAATCAGTATTAACTGACTTGGTTTAGTCCTTGGCATTTATTAAATCTCAATAAATGGTAGCTTCCATGGTCACCTCATTGTTGTTCATTCTTTATCTTGCTTCTCTACATGAGAGAGTTGCACAAAGGAAGGAAGTAGTTTTCCTGGTGTCGTGGCAAATAGGTGTTATAACCCGGATTTCATCCCTGATCTTTCTGACTTCAAAGCTCATTATTATACTCTCCCCAGAGGGGGATGTCAGTGGAGCTTCTGCCAACTTGATCTCTTCACCTTATCCCCAAGGGCCCCCCACACCAAGCCACCACACACAAGCTTGTAAAAACGCGACCAGCCAGGTTTTTGCTTGTTCGTCAGGAGCTTCTTCTGAAGTTCATTACTGTTTGGCAGTTGGAATAATTTGGCAGAGGGTAAAAATAAGAAAATTGCTTGGATGAATAAAGATTTAAGAAACCAAATGACAAAGGTTTTGAAATTGAAAATGAAAATAAGGCCGGGCACAGTGGCTCAGGCCTATAATCCCAGCACTTTGGGAGGCAGAAGCGGGTGGATCACGAGGTAAAGACATCGAGACCATCCTGGACAGTATGGTGAAACCCCGTCTCTACTAAAAATACAAAAATTAGCCGAGCGTGGTGGCACATGCCTGTAGTCCCAGCTACTTGGGAGACTGAGGCAGGAGAGTCGCTTGAACCTGGGAGGGGGAGGTTGCAGCGAGCCGAGATCATGCCACTGCACTCCAGCCTGGGCAAGACAAGACTGCGTCTCAAAAAAAAAAAAAAAATAGAAAATGAAAAATACTTCCATTTTTATTTAATATTGAATTAATACCAAAGAACATTTAAACATACACACATATATATATAGATATAAAATGTAGGGAATGATACAGTGAACACTCATCAATCACCTAGTTTTTAAAAAACATTATCCTGTCTCTTTCACCCTCAGAATCATTAACCTGAATTTTTACTTCTTGACTTCGTAGTTTTTCCACATATGCTCAGTCCCTGAATAATAATATTTAGTTTTCTATGAAATGCAATTGTACATTATGTGTTTTCCTGCAATTTTTTCAACAAATGTATATGTTCTTGAGTTTTATCCAGATGGTGATGGGAGTAGCCAGTTTCTGCCCAAATATATTTAGAGGTTTGTTCTGGGCCAATATGATAGTGACCGCAGCCTGTGGTTACACGATCTCAGAGGACCCTGACAAAGTGCGCTGTAGGTGGTCAGGTTACAGCTTGGTTTTATACATTTTAGAGATACAGGATTACATGGAAGGTATATATTGATCTCACACAAAAGGCAGGACGTCTTAAAGAGGGGGTTACAAGTCATAAGTGGGTTTTAAGGATTCTTCAGTTGGTACTTGGTTGATAGAGGTAAGCTGTGGTAAGTAGAAAGGAATGCCTGAGTTAAGGGACTTGTGGAGGCCAAGGTTCTTGTTAAGTTAAATGAAGCCTTCTAGGTAGCAGCCTTCAGAGGGAAGAGATACTAAATGTCACTTTTTAGACTTTAATGTTGTCAGGCTCTCAGTTAATCTCTCCTGGATCCAGGAAAGGCCTAGGAAGGGAAGGCCTGGTTGCATTCATGGAGATTCTCCACAGATGCACGTTTCCCCTAGGAAACATGGCTTTGCAGGGCCATTGAGATCTGTTGGCCCTGTGGCAGCCATTTCAAAATGTCAAAGAAATATATTTTAGGGTAAAATATTCTGATTTCCTTCTGAGTCTGCTATTTGTCATAAGATGCCATACCAGAATTAGGTTGGAAAGTAAGCCATATTATATAGGATTAATAAAAAACCTGTCTAACGAGATTTTATAATTTGTAAGGCATGATGCCCCAGGCCTCTTAGTGAGGAACTTGGAGAAGAGAGAAAAAAAAAAAAAGATCAGTGTTTAGTCCTTACATATTATTGTATGAACTGTAATTTACTCATTTTG